GGTTGGGTGGCTCAGTGGGTTGGTGCATCATCCAGGACACACAAAATAAAAAGTCGCCGGTTGGATTCCTGGTCAGGACACATTCCTAGGCTGCAGGTTCAATCCCCAGTCAGGGCTCGTACAGCAGGTAACTGATTGCTTTCTCTCTCTCTCTCCCCCTGTTTCCTTCCTCTCTCTCTAAAATCAATTAAAATAACAACATATTCTCAGGCGAGGATTTAAAAAAAAAGTGGTTACAGCGCCCTAACCGGTTTCACTCAATGGATAGAACATCGGCCTGCAGATTCAAGGGTCCCAGGTTCGATTCCAGACAAGGGCATGTACCTTGGTTGCGGGCACATCCCCAGTGGGAGGTGTGCAGGAGGCAGCTGATTGATGTTTCTTTCTCATCGATGTTTCTAACTCTCTATCCCTCTCTCTTCTCTGTACAAAATCAATAACATATACACATATATATATTTTTATATATATTTTATTGATTTTGTACAGAGAAGGGAGAGAGATAGTTAGAAACATCAATGAAAGAGAGTCATCCATCAGCTGCCTCTTGCACACCCCCTACTGGGGATATGCCCGCAACCAAGGTACATGCCCTTGACCGGAATCGAACCCAGGACCCTTCAGTCCCCAAGGTGACACTCTATCCACTGAGCCAAACCGGTTTCGGTTATACACATATATTTTTAAAAAGTGGTTACAACATCAGTTATGGCTCCTCTGAAACGCTAATCAAAACAGAACTTTGTCTTTATTCATGTGATGACTGGATTAAGGCCTGTCTCCGTCTCTCACATCCACGCACTCCAGACATGTACCAGATTACAAACTGTACCAGGGCAGGTACCCTGGTGACACAGTATCTTTCCATTTATCTCAGCACACAGTAGGTCTCTGTGTGCCCAGCACACAGTAGGTGCTTACTAGGTATCTGTCAGACGGATGAACAGATGTGGGGACGCCTGAATGGAGGGGTAGGTGGGTGAGTGGGTGGGTGGGTGGGTGGATGGATAACTAGATGAGTGGATGGGGGAGGGGGAAGGGGGATGTGGAGATGAATAGATAAGCCAGAGGACGGATGGGTGATTGGTCAAGCGGATGGATAAATGATTTATGAATCTGAACTAGCAGGGGTCTCTCAGGAAAAGGGATGGCACAGGTAAAAGTCAGCTGTTCTAGAATTTCTAGACGGTGAAGGTCAGAATTCAGAGAGCGCAGCTGAGGCCTCGGGGGGACTCTGGGGTACAGGCCCAGGGTCGTGGAGGTGGGGTCAAGGGTCACGTACCACATGACCTGGGCGCCTTCCTCGGACACCTCCACGGCCATTTCCACCCGGTCGCCCACAAACACCTGCTGGTCCTCCAGGGGCGTCACGATCAGCACTGGGGGTTCTGTGGGCACAGGCGGGGGGGGGGGGGCGGGGGGGGGTCAGGGAGTCTCCGGACGCCCTCGGGCCCCGCCCCCGGGCCCAGCCCGGCCGCACCTCTGACGAAGAGCTCGGTGAAACACTTCTCGTCGCCCACGGCGACCTCGTACGCGGCGTCGTCCGCCAGCGTGCACTTGTTGATGGTGAGGATCCGCTTCTTGCCCACGTTCTCGAACACGTACCTGGCGAGAAGCCTCGCTCAGCCCGGGGCCCAGAGCCGCCCGCCGGTCCCAGCTGGGCACCCCGCTCAGGGACACACTGTCCAGCTTCTGCTTTTCCTTTCCTTTTTTTTTTTTTTTTTTTTTTTTAAAACGTATTTTATTGAGCCCGGACTGGTTTGGCTCAGTGGATAGAGCGTCAGCCTGCGGGTTGAGAGGTCCCGGGTTCGATTCCGGTCAAGGGCATGTACCTTGGTTGCAGGCACATCCCCAGTAGGGAGTGTGCAAGAGGCGGCTGATCGATGATTCTATCTCATCGATGTTTCTAGCTCTCTATCCTTCTCTCTTCCTCTCTGTACAAATCAATAAAATATATTTTTTAAAAAACAAAAACCACATATTTTATTGGCCGAAACCTGTTTGGCTCAGTGATTAGAGCGTCAGCCTGCGAACCGAACGGGTCCCGGGTTCGATTCCGGTCAAGGGCATGTACATTGGTTGTGGGCACATCCCCAGTAGGGGGTGTGCAGGAGGCAGCTGATGGATGTTTCTCTTTCGTCGATGTTTCTAGCTCTCCTCTCCGTAAAAAAAATCAATAAAATATATTAAAAGAAAGAAAGAAAGGAAGAAAGAAAGACCCATCGATGAGAGAGAAACATCCATCAGCTGCCTCCTGCACGCCCCTCCTGGGGATGTGCCCGCAACCAACGTGCATGGCCTTGACCGGAATCGAACCTGGGACCCTTCAGTCCGCAGGCCCACGCTCTATCCATTGAGCCACACCGGTCAGGGCCTGACTGGCGTCATTCCTGTTGCTGTTGTTCTTACCATCTGCACGGCCGAATGTGCCCTGCACAGCGCACTGGCCATTGGGGTCCTTCTCAACGGAATTCCTGGTCTCAGTGCTTTTGTCTCCTCCTGAGGTCCTTGCACGTTTCACATGGGGGGTGGGGGGGTGCCCTTTCGGGGTTCCGAGGGGCCGGCCTTGTTTCGGGGGGTTCCCTCTGGGCCCCAGACCCCCGCCTCGCCCCACGCGGAGACCGCCACGCGCACGTACTTGCTGCCCGGCTTGATCTCCTGGCCGTTCTTGAACCACTTGAGGGGCAGGTCGGGGTCACTGATCTCCACCACCAGCTTGATCTTCTGGCCCCGGTCCACCTGGTAGGCCGGGTCCAGCTTCTTGGTGAAGGCTGCCAGCGGGGGACGCAGGGCGGGTGAGCTGGAAGGTCCTCCCCGCCCTGGCCGTCCCAGCACCGCTGCGTCTCCCTCCCCAACCCTCAGCTCTCCGGGGTCACAAAAAGGTCAAGGTCACGAGGTCGGAGGTCCCCGAGAACAGGACTCTCTCCCACGTCTCAGATCGGGGCCCCCAAAGGATGGGTCCAGGCTCCCCACATCGGATGCCCCCATGATGCTACGTTTTTTTGTGTGTGTGTGTGTGTGTGTGTGTGTGTGTTGTTTTTTTTAATATTTATTTTCATTGATTTCAGAGAGGAAGGGAGAGGGAGAGAGAGATAGAAACATCAATGATGGGAGAGAATCATTGATTGGCTGCTTCCTACACGCCCCCTACCGGAGATCAAGCCCGAAACCCAGGCATGTGCCCTTGGCTGGAATCGAACCTGGGACCCTTCAGTGCGCAGGCCGACGCTCTATTCACTGGGCCAAACCAGCTAGGGCCATGGTCGGCAAACACATTAGTCCCCAGAGCCAAATACCCACAGGACAACAATTAAAATTTCTTCGGAGAGCCAGATTTTTTAGACTTAAACTTCTTCTAACGCCACTTCTTCAACATAGACTCTTCCTGGCTGTGGAATTTTTTTTTTTAAATATATTTTCTTAATTTTTTACAGAGAGGAAGAGTTAGAAGCAATGATGAGAGAGAATCACCGATCAGCTGCCTCCTGCACATACCCCACTGGGGATGTGCCCGCAACCAAGGTACATGCCCTTGACCGGAATCGAACCCGGGACCCCTCAGTCCACAGGCCGACGCTCTATCCACTGAGCCAAAGAGCCGCCTGTGGCTTAGGCGCCGCGGTTTGCCGACCACGGGGCTGGGGCGACGCTGCGGCTCTCAGGGGCGGGGCCGGCACTGACCTTCGCTCTTCTTGACCTCGACCTTGGCCTTCTTGAGCCGCTTGAGCATGCCGCGCAGGTCGGTGATGCCGTACTGGAAGGCGATCTTCTCGTACTCGCTCTTCTTCGCCCCCTTCAGGAGCTCCCAGATCTCGGGCGGGATGCCCAGGTCGTCATCGTCCTTCTTCTTCTTCTTCTCCTTCTCCTTCTCCTGCTCCACCACCTCCCTGAGGGCGGGAGAGGGAGCCGCCCCGGGTCTCCCTCCGCCGCCCCCGGGTCTCCCTCCGCCCCGGGTCTCCCTCCGCCCCCGGGTCTCCCGCCGCCCCGGGTCTCCCTCCGCCGCCCCGGGTCTCCCGCCGCCCCCTCTCCGGCTCTGGGCCGGTATCCTTTCTCCTCCCGTCCTGGACCTCGCCCCGCCTCCTCCCTGCTCCCCGGCCTCCACCCCGCCTCTCCCCTGCAGCCTGCCCCCCACGGGCCCCAGAGGGACGGCCCTGGCCCCCCAGCGGATGCCACCCCTTCCCTGTTGAGGGGCTCGGGGAATGGCAGACAGACAGAGGGCAGGCAGGGAGACGGTGGTGGCAGACGGACAGGTGGGCAGGCAGGCGGGTCCGCGGCTTAGTCCTCGGTGAGAGGGAGCCGGCTGGGCGGCGGGGGAGGCGGGGAGGAGGCGGGCGGGCGGGCGGGCGGCGGGAGGGATGGGTGTTGGACGGGGCGGACCGTGGATGAGGAGCCGGAGGGGATGGGACAGGACGTGGGGGGACGGGGTTACAGGGTGGGTAGGGAGGTGGTGGGCTGGGCGGCGGCAGAGGGAGGATGGGGCGTGGAGGAGCGGGCGGGGAGTCTTCTCTCCATGGGGGGACGGGGCAGGGCCTCACCTCTTCTTCAGCAGCCCGCTGAAGTCCAGCTCGCCCGCGTCCTCCGACTTCCCTTCACCCCTGCGGCCGGGGGGAGGGGGTGTGAGCTCCCCTGAAGCCCCCCAGACTCAGCGTGGGTCCCCACTCCTTGCCACCCGCCCGTCCTCCCTTCTCCCAGGGGAAGCCCGGGTCCGGGGTCGCTTACGTGCGCTTGAATTCTTCCAGGACCGGCCCCGAGGAGTCCTGAGTGGCTGGGGAGAGGCAGGGGTGCGGGGGGAGCTGGGGGCACGTCCTGACCACAGGCCAAGGCAGCCCCGGGCCCAGCCGCCCCCTCCACCCCCTCCAGACCCCCTCCACCTCCTCCACCCCCTCCACCCCCTCCAGACCCCCGCCCACCCCCTCCAGACCCCCCTCCACCTCCTCCAGACCCTGTCCACCCCCTCCACACCCCCCTCCACCCCCTCCACACCCTCCAGACCACCCTCCTTCCCTCCCCCCCTCCAGACCCCCTTCCACCCCCTCTACTCCCTCCAGACCCCCTCCACCTCCTCCAGACCCCCCTCCACCTCCTCCACCCCCTCCAGAGCCCCCTCCAGACCCCCCTCCTCCACCTCCACCCGCTCCGGCCTCTGGTCCCACCTCTCAGACCAGCACACCCTCTCTCCGAGGCCCTCACACCCTCTGCTCCTAGGCTCCTCCCCCTGGCTGCCACGCACCCCCCTCTGGGCAGCCACACCGGGGCCTGCACCCCCTTCTCCTCAGGCCTGGGCACCTCCTTCCCTGTGCCCTCCAGATTTCAGCACCCCCTCTTCCAGGGCTATAGACTCCCCCCACCCCACAGAGGCTGTGCACCCTCAGGACTCCATGCACACGCCCCCAGGTCTGTGGAGCCGCCCCTAATCCTGCACACTCACCCCCTCCGCCCCCTCCACCCCGCCCCCCACAGCCCTCCCGCCCCTTCTCCAGCTCCTGCAATGGCTCCACCTGCCTCCCAGCCTTCAGCCTCCGCAGCGCCGCCCACCACCCGCTCCCTCCCCCTCACGCTCCGGGCACGCAGCCTGCCCCCCATCCCCCGACCCCAGACCCTCGCCCCCTCCCCCCCCAGCTCACCCTCCACGTCGATGTTGAAGCTGCAGCTGTCGCAGAAGTCCTTGGCTTTGATCTCCAGGCGGTAGTCCCCGCGGTCCCCCAGCACCACCTTCCCGATGTGCAGCTCCACCTCGTACACCTGGGGCGAGGCCGGGGGTGGGTGCACGGCCCCTTCCCAGAGCCCCCCCCCCAGCTCTCCCTGCAAGCCCGCCCCCTCACCCACAGCTCTCCCCCCAAACCCTCCCCTCCCACCCCCAGCTCTCTCCCCAAACCCTCCCCTCCCACCCACAGCTCTCCCCCCAAACCCTCCCCTCCCACCCAAACCCCTCCCCCCAACCCTCTCCCCCACCCTCTCCCCCCACCCACAGCTCTCCCCCAAACCCTCCCCTCCACCCACAGCTCTCCCCCAAACCCTCTCCCCCACTCACAGCTCTCCCCCCAAACCCTCCCCTCCCACCCACAGCTCTCCCCCCAAACCTCTCCTCCCACCCACAGCTCCCCCCCAAACCCTCTCCCCACCCACAGCTCTCCCCCAAACCCACCCCTCCACCCACAGCTCTCCCCCAAACCCTCCCCTCCCACCCACAGCTCTCCCCCCAAACCCTCCCCTCCTACCCACAGCTCTCCCCCCAAACCCTCCCCTCCCACCTACAGCTCTCCCCCCAAACCCTCCCCTCCCACCTACAGCTCTCCCCCCAAACCCTCCCCTCCCACCTACAGCTCTCCCCCCAAACCCTCCCCTCCCACCTACAGCTCTCCCCCAAACCCTCCCCTCCCACCTACAGCTCTCCCCCCAAACCCTCCCCTCCCACCTACAGCTCTCCCCCCAAACCCTCTCCCCCACCCACAGCTCTCCCCCCAAACCCTCTCCCTCACCCACAGCTCTCGCCCCAAACCCTTTCCCCCCACCCTCTCCCCCAAACCCTCCTCTCCCACCCACAGCTCTCCCCCCAAACCCTCCCCTCCCACCCACAGCTCTCCCCCCAAACCCTCTCCCCCCACCCACAGCTCTCCCCCCAAACCCTCCCCCCCACCCACAGCTCTCCCCCCAAACCCTCCCCCCACCCACAGCTCTCCCCCCAAAACCTCCCCTCCCACCCACAGCTCTCCCCCCAAACCCTCCCCTCCTACCCACAGCTCTCCCCCCAAACCCTCTACCCCACCCACAGCTCTCCCCCAAACCCTCCCCCCCACCCACAGCTCTCCCCCCAAACCCTCCCCTCCCACCCACAGCTCTCCCCCCAAACCCTCCCCCCCACCCACAGCTCTCCCCCCTAACCCTCCCCCCCACCCACAGCTCTCCCCCCAAACCCTCTCCCCCACCCACAACTCTCACCACCCCTACCCCTTCCACCCACCGCTCTCTCTCCCCCAGCCCTCCCCCACCCACCCACCACTCTTTCCCCCTCCCCACCTCTGTCACCCCCTCCTCACCGCTGTCACCCCCTCCCCACCCCTGTCACCCCCTCCTCACCCCTGTCACCCCCTCCCCACCGCTGTCACCCCCTCCCCACCCCTGTCACCCCCCTCCTCACCGCTGTCACCCCCTCCTCACCGCTGTCACCCCCTCTCCACCCCTGTCACCCCCTCCCCACCGCTGTCACCCCCTCCCCACCCCTGTCACCCCCTCCCCACCCCTGTCACCCCCTCCTCACCCCTGTCACCCCCTCCCCACCGCTGTCACCCCCTCCCCACCCCTGTCACCCCCTCCCCACCGCTGTCACCCCCTAGGCCTGACAGTCTTGACCTGGGCCCATGCCCCTAACCCCCGGACACTTTTCGGGGAACGCAGACACGGTGCCCAAGTGCCTGAACCCCAACGGTCTCCCCTCCTGCAGACACAACCTCTACCAGGCGCCCGAGCACCCGCCACCCCGGCACCGGCCATGGCCACACCCGAGTGTTCACAGGCCACCCAGCAGCAGGGCCTGCTCGGCTCCAGCCCCCCCACCCCCGCCCCCGGCCCCCACTTCCCCCCAACCCATGGCCCCCCATGTCCCGGCCCCCGGCCCCCACTTCCCCCCAACCCATGGCCCCCCTGGCCCCCGGCCCCCACCTCCCCCTACCCCATGGCCCCCCTGGCTCCCAGTCCCCACCTCCCCCTACCCCATGGCCCCCCCATGCCCCCGGCCCCCGGCCCCCGCCCCCCCCGGCCCCCGGCCCCCCGTGCCCCCGGCCCCCCGTGCCCCCAGCCCCCGGCTCCCCATGCCCCTGGCCCCCGGTCTCCTGCCCCCGGCCCCCGGCCCCGGCCCCTGCCCCCGGCCCTCACGTTGTTGGCGGAGTCGTGGGTCTCCTTGAAGGAGAAGCGGGCTCCGCTCTTGATGCCCAGCTCCAGCCACTTCCCCTTGAACCACTTGATGGAGGGTTTGCCGGGCAGCTCCTTCCCGTTCACCTTGGCCGTGACCATCACGTCCTTCCCTGGGGGTGGGTGTGAGGGATGGAGGGAGCCGTCAGGCCGGGCCCCACACTCTATAGTGAGAACTGAGGTTGGGAGCCCTATCCCCTCCTCCCTCAGACCCAGGTCCCTCCTCCCTCAGACCCAGGCCCCCAGCCCCTCCTCCCTCAGACCCAGGTCCCTCCTCCCTCAGACCCAGGGGCCCGGGCCCCAGACCCTCCTCCCTCAGACCCAGGGGCCCGGGCCCCAGCCCCTCCGCCCCAGGCCTCCTCACCATTCTCCACAGACACAGACTCCGGCTTCTTCAGGAAAACCCCCGGAGGCTCTGGGGCCGTGGGGGACTGCTCCGCGGACGGGGCCTCTGGGGGAGACAGGGCGGGGGCTGAGGCCGCGGGGCGGGCAGCAGCCCCTTTGGGGGCGGACGGGGCTTAGAGCCAGGAGGGACCCTCCGCACAGAAGCCAAAGGCCCTGGTGTGACATGGCCTTGTCCGACCGGGAGAGTCCGCGTGGCCCCAGGCAGCTGCATGACCTCGGCCAGGCCGGCCTCGCCCCTCGGGCCTCAGTTTCCCCATCTGCGGACGGGAGGGTGGACTGCGGGGTCCCGATTGGGACTTTGCAACAAGAGAGGCGCCAAGATGGACGGGCGTGCGAGCTGGCAGGGCTGTGAGGAACCAGCCGGGTGTTGGGGGGCGGGTGCTTGAGGGCCAGGCGGGGGCCTGGGCTCTGTCCCTGGGCACTGGGGAGCCATGGAAGGCCGGGGAGGGGAGTCAGTTCTGGGAGCACCGTGGGGAGGACGGGGAGAGTGAAGAGGGGCCAGGAGAGCTCGGGGATGAGTCCAAGTTCTGCTGAGTCCGCGGGACACCCCCTCACCTTTGGGAGACTCTGGGGGGGCCTCTGCTGGGGGGGCCTCCTCTGGAGCGGATTCCTCAGGAGCAGGTTTGGCCTCATCTTTGGCTGTGAGGTAGGTGTTCATACTGAGCACAAGCTCAGCCCCTCCTCCCTCAGACCCAGTGGTCCAGGCCCCCGCCCCTCCTCCCTCAGACCCAGGGGTCCGGGCCCCCAGCCCCTCCTCCCTCAGACCCAGGGGTCCAGGCCCCCAACCCTCCTCCCTCAGACCCAGGGGTCCGGGCCCCCAGCCCCTCCTCCCTCAGACCCAGGGGTCCGGGCCCCCAGCCCCTCCTCCCTCAGACCCAGGGGTCCAGGCCCCCAACCCTCCTCCCTCAGACCCAGGGGTCCAGGCCCCCAACCCTCCTCCCTCAGACCCAGGGGTCCGGGCCCCCAGCCCCTCCTCCCTCAGACCCAGGGGTCCAGGCCCCCAACCCTCCTCCCTCAGACCCAGGGGTCCAGGCCCCCAGCCCTCCTCCCTCTGACCCAGGAGCCCAGCCCAGCTCCCTTCCAGACACATTAACTCTCTCTCCTCCTGAGTGTGTGAGATCAGGTTTCCCCTTGCCCTGGCCGGCCATGCCCCGTGCCCCGTGGTCCAGGCCACAGGCCCTGACCTTTTGGGCCCTGAGGGTAAAATTAGCTCTCCCGCCCGGCGGGAAACCGGACACCTGTGCTGACCACAGCACCTCCGCGGCCGGCCGGCGGCCTGCTGGTCCCGGCTCCCGGGGTCCCAGCGGCAGTGAGGGCCCCGGCCCCCTCCCCACCGCCCGGCCGGCCGACCTGGTGCCCGTGGCCTGGACACCGGGAGGGTCATTCCTCACGAGAGGAAGTTCCCCCACCCCCATCTGCACATGAAAGCTCGGAGAACTTACTCCAAGGCCCCTGATTCTGCCAGAAAGGAGCGCCCTCGCCCTCAGAACTCTCCCGGCCCCGCAGACAAGAGCCCCTGATCTGAGCCCGGAGGACGGTGCGCCCCACGGACAGAGGCCCAGGCCTCACCCAGAGGCCCCGTCCCCAAAGGCAGGTGACCGTGGTCGCCACGCACAGAGTTCACACGCACAGACTCACAGCCCCCTCCCCCCCAAAAAAGGACTCCAGTCCCAGTCAGAGGCAGTCCTTCCGCACCCACAGGGCCTCCCAGGCCCCGCACAGGGACCCCTGCCCCTCCCGCACAGGGGAGGGGACCCTCCACCCAACACAGAGGGAGGGGAGCCCTCTCCCCACAGAGGGGGTGCCCGTTCTCCCAGCATCACAGACGGAGGAGCCGTCGGTGCGGAGAGTCCCCTCCGCGGAGAGGGAGCGCCCACCGCCACCTGGTTTAGCCTCGGGCATGGCTGCCACCTCCTCGGCTCCTCCGGCCACAGCGTCCCTCAGGCCCTGGGAGACAGGTGGGCCTCGGGGGCGGCCCTATAAGGGTGAGCTAACTCCCAAGAGTCTCCGGGAGGCTTCCCCGGCCTCGCCACCCGCCCACCGTCCGCCCGGGGAGCCAACAGGGACAGCCCAACCAGGAGGGGCTGGACGCCAGGTCCCGGAGGCTTGGGACGCCTGGGTCTGAGGGAGGAGGGGCTGGACCCCTGGGTATGAGGGAGGAGGGGCTGGGGGCCTGGACTCCTGGGTCTGAGGAAGGAGGGGCTGGGGCCCAGGACTCCTGGGTCTGAGGGAGGAGGGGCTGGGGCCCAGGACTCCTGGGTCTGAGGAAGGAGGGGCTGGGGCCCAGGACTCCTGGGTCTGAGGGAGGAGGGGCTGGGGCCCAGGATGCCTGGGTCTGAGGGAGGAGGGGCTGGGGCCCTGGGTCTAAGGGAGGAGGGGCTGGGGGCCCAGGATGCCTGGGTCTGAGGGAGGAGGGGCTGGGGCCCTGGGTCTGAGGGAGGAGGGGCTGGGGCCCAGGACTCCTGGGTCTGAGGGAGGAGGGGCTGGGGCCCAGGACTCCTGGGTCTGAGGAAGGAGGGGCTGGGGCCCAGGACTCCTGGGTCTGAGGGAGGAGGGGCTGGGGCCCAGGACTCCTGGGTCTGAGGAAGGAGGGGCTGGGGCCCAGGACTCCTGGGTCTGAGGGAGGAGGGGCTGGGGCCCAGGATGCCTGGGTCTGAGGGAGGAGGGGCTGGGGCCCTGGGTCTAAGGGAGGAGGGGCTGGGGGCCCAGGACTCCTGGGTCTGAGGGAGGAGGGGCTGGGGCCCAGGACTCCTGGGTCTGAGGAAGGAGGGGCTGGGGCCCAGGACTCCTGGGTCTGAGGGAGGAGGGGCTGGGGCCCAGGACTCCTGGGTCTGAGGAAGGAGTGGCTGGGGCCCAGGACTCCTGGGTCTGAGGGAGGAGGGGCTGGGGGCCTGGACCCCTGGGTCTGAGGGAGGAGGGGCTGGGTCATGGACCCCTGGGTCTGAGGGAGGAGGGGCTGGGTCATGGACCCCTGGGTCTGAGGGAGGCGGGGCTGGGGCCCAGGACTCCTGGGTCTGAGGGAGGAGGGGCTGGGTCATGGACCCCTGGGTCTCAGGGAGAGGGGCTGGGTCATGGACCCCTGAGTCTCAGGGAGAGGGGCTGGGTCATGGACCCCTGGGTCTCAGGGAGAGGGGCTGGGTCATGGACTCCTGGGTCTGGGGACAGAGGGCCTGGGCTCCAGACCTTGGGTGCTGGGGGAAAGGAGGAGGAAAAGGGCCTGAGTCTGGGGCTGGGGGGGAAAGTGGGTGAATGGCAGGGGTGGGTGGGGGGTGGGGGGAGAGGACAGGGTCTAGGGAGCCATTCTTAGCATCTGCAAGTAAGGGCTTTCCGGGAAACCAGAGCCGGGGCTGGGGGAGGGGGCCGGGTTCCCTGCGCAGCGGGCGGGCGGTTCCGAGCTGGCCCGGAGGGCGCTGAGGCCCCGCAGCCGCCCCCGGGCGGGCACACCCAGGCCTGGGCCCGGGCCCCTGGGACCCGGCCTGGCCCGCGCCCCCCTGGGCCCCGCCGGCCGGGCTGCACGCCGGTTCCCGGAGCGGGCGCGGCGGGCACGGACAAGGTGCCGGCAGCGGGGGCGGGAGGCCGGGAAGGCCCTGGAGGGGTGCCCGGGCGCTGGCGCCCTTCCCGGCAGGGAGACCTGCGGCTGCCTGAGGGGGGCGCTCGGTGGGGGAGGGGGGAGGGGGGAGAGGGTTTTGGGGACCCAGGTGCTGAGAGGACCAGGTGGGGGGGGGGAAGGGTGGAGGGCTTGGGGTGAAGGAGGAGGATGGGGTTGGGGGGGCTGTGAGGACGGCAAGTCCCTCCCTGTGTCCTTCCGGGGCCCCTTCACCCTCCCCCCTCCCCCCTCTCCAAAACCCCCTACGAGCCGGAAACTTCCCGCCTCCAAGGAGGGCCAGGCCAATCCGGAGGCAGCATTCGTGTGACGTCACGGGTCACCATGCAGACTACCGCACAGCTCCCCAGCGGGCGAGGCGGGCAGAGCCGCGGGGGCCAGGAGGGCGGCGCTGCCACCTGGGTCCTGGCGCCCTGCCCCGCCAGCCCGAGGGAGGACAGACACCCAAGGAAGGACAGAGACCAGGGAGGGGCGGAGGGGTGGAGCCAGAGACCCGGAGAGCGCGCGCGGGCAAAGGAAGGGGCGGGAGAGAGGACAGAAAGGGCAGCAGAGAGGGCGGGAAGAGTCCCCTTGGTCCGGAAGAGAGGAGACAAAAGTTGGACGGAACCACCAGTGCCTGTGGCTCAAGCCCCTTTCGCTGGCCTTCAAAACTCCTGTTCCATCTCCTCTCTCTCTTTTTTTTTTTAAATGTATATATTTTATTGACTTTTTACAGAGAGGAAGAGAGGGATAGAGAGTTAGAAGCAGCGGTGAGAGAGAATCATCGATCAGCTGCCTCCTGCACACTCCCTACTGGGGATGTGCCCTCCACCAAGGCACATGCCCTTGATGGGAATCGAACACGGGACCCTTCAGTCCACAGGCCGACGCTCTGTCCACTGAGCCACACCGGTTTTGGCTCCATCTCCTCCCTTACCCCCTCCCTGTCCCGGTGTCCCCGAGGCCCAGCAGGCCCGGCGTGCCAGCCTTGCGGTCTCTGACACAGGGTCCACAGGTGCCTACCTGGGTTTGTTTTAGTTTAGTTTATTCCACACGTGGGGTGATGATGGTTTCTGTAGAAGGTACCTCATTTGCAAAGGAGGCCCCAGGAGGAGGAAATCTTACCACCACCACCCCCTCCCAGGTTGCCCCCTCCCCAAGGCAGGGGGCCGTTCTGCTCTTGCTGCTGCCAGCACCGGGCGCCCCCGCACGGCCCTCTTCTCTCTGGGTCCCCGCTGCGCCCTGCTCGGCCTCCTCCGGCCGGTCGTGGGGGGGCGGTGGGTGCAGGAGGTGCATCGAAGGCCTGTCCACGGGGCTGCAAGGTGACTTTCACCATCTTCCTCCTCTTCCTCTCCCCTTTCACAGAAGGGACAACGGAGGCCCACAAGCAGTAAGCCTCTGACTTGCGGTCCCCCAGCCACGGGGCCCCGGGCTCAGCCACAGCCCCTCGCCTCGGCTTCCAAGCAGAGCGCCTGCGCCCATCCAGGCCCCCCCCCCCAGCGGGGGTCACGCCAGGGGTCCAACTGCAGATGGCTGAGGGTCAAGGCCACCGAGAGAGGCCACCAGGGCGTGACAGCCAAGGGGGTGGGGGTCCGGGACAGGTGGAGAACAGCACCCCCTTCTTCCAGCCTCCACACCGCAAAGCCGATCCCGGGATTGTGCAAAGTTCTAACTGGAGGGTTTTGCGAAATCTCCCTCCTTTGGAATGTCAGTTACCTTGGATGCCCCTTCCAAACACAAAAGCAAAAACAAAGAACAAAACTGAGACCGTAAACTAAAGAAAACCCCACAAGGGGAGAGGGCTCGGGGAGGGGGACCTGACTGGCCCCATGGGCAGAGGAGGGGTAAGGAGTGGGGAGGGGGTCATCAGTCTGCGACCTCTGGTTAGAAATGATGGGGCCGGGGGGGGGGGGGACAACGGGGGGGGGGGACACAACGGGGGGGGGGACAACGACTGCCAAGATCACCCAGAAATCAGCTCAGCGGCCAGAATGACCCGCAGAATGGGGCCACAGAGGGCACCCCAGGAGAGGGTGGGTTCCCATGACAACGCAGCTGCTTGTGGGATCCCCATGGGGGGACCTCAGGTGGAAATCCCGGGGCGGGGCACAGACGTGGCTGGAGAATCCCAGGCAGACAAGGGGACACCAGAGGTGGCCCGGACATGGCGAGGTTCAATGAGGTGGCCCCCCCCAAAAAAAAAAACAAAAAAAAACCTGACGAGAGTTTGCAGACGTGACGGAAGGATCCCTGGGCCTCCCTGGCTGTGGCTGGAGAATTCCAGACCCAAAAAAGCGGTGTCAGGGCGGCTCCAGAGAACTTGGGGATCCCAGAGATGACCGTGGGGCTTGGGGGGACAGACAGGACACGAGGGGCAGCTGGGCACAGAGATCCGAGCTGTGGTAAAGGGGTCCCAGGGGCCTCCGTCGTCCCTAGACCTCAGATCTGACAGGAGGGACTCACAGGAGCGGAGGCCTCCCCGAGGCCTTGGACTGGACAGGGCCAGGCCTGCTGGCAGCGTCCCCTCCTGGTGGAAAGGTCTGTGGGCTCACCCGCCCCCAGATGGGATTGTGGGATCACAGACACACAGAGCCCCCCCCCCCTCTCCCCCAGCCTGGCTGGGGGATCCCAGGGAAGTCCGCCCCACTCCACACAGACACACCCGTCCTGCGCCCCAAGCCGTGAAGATCCTGGGGCCCCTGGACGTGACGCGGGAATCCCAGAGGGGCCCCGGGCAGGGCTGAGGGGTGAGGGCAGCCCCTCCCCCCCAACCCCCACAGCGTGGGGGGATCCACGGGTCCTAGGACCTAGGGTGAGGGGACAGCAACGTGTGACAGCGGCCTGGGGCCCCGGCTCAGGCCCGGCAGGCGGCCGGCAGCAGCGCCATGTCAAACTGGTAGGTGAGCTTGCGCTTGACCTTGCGGATCTCGCCGGTCTTGGCGTAGTTGCGCAGCGCGCGGGCCAGCTTCTGGTAGGTCATGCGCTTGCGGTTGCCCTTCTGCTGGCCCCAGCGGCGCGCCAGCAGCTCCTTGTGCTTGGACGAGAACTGGAAGACGCCGGCGCCCGGCTCCACCCACCACACGCACTCTCGCATGTCGCCGCGGGTCAGCAGCCCCAGCAGGAACTGGTACAGGCGCAGCTTCTTGCGGGCCCCTGGGGGGGGGGAGGGGCGTCAGGGAGGTTCCCTAGCCTCAGCCCCCAGGGAGAGACCTGGGGAGAGGCGGGTGGCTGCTGAGAGGTACCCCTGCCTGGCTCTGTCTGCGCGGCCTCCCCCCCATCCCAGAAGCGGTCCCCCCCAGATCCCCAGGGCCCTTCCCTGCTTGCTTTCACAGGCCCAGCGCCTAGGAATCTGCATTGTGGAGCACACGGAGGAGGGAAGCTGTGAAACGGGCTGTCAGGGCTCCTCAAAGGCTCACTGGGCAGCCCCAGCCGGGGTGGGTCAGTGGATAGAGCATCGGCCTGCGGACTGAAGGGTCGCAGGTTTGATTCCACTCAGGGCACATGCCCGGGGTGCGGGCTTGATCCCCAGTGGGGGGGGGCTGTGTAGGAGGCAGCTGATCAATGATTCTCTCATCATTGATGTTTCTCTCTCCCTTCCTCTCTGAAATAAATAAAAATACATTAAAAAAAAAAAAGGCTCACCACACAGAGCTGACTGGTGGTGGAAAGTCATCCTGGCTAGTCTCCAGCTCCGAGTCCCCCAGCCTCACAGCCCAGAGGGACTGGGATCCTGGGAGAGGCCCCGGGGGCCTGAATGCTGGGCTCCTACAAGCAGCTAGCTCCCCCCCCCCCACCTCAGAGCAGGGTTCGGGGGTCACAGCAGGGCACCGAGTACAGGAACCCCACCGCTGCCATTTCCCAGCTGTGTGACCCTGGGGTGATGACTTAACCTCTCTGAGTGGCCTCTCCTCGGCTGTAAACGAGGCTTACATGTGTGTGTGTGTGTGCGCGCGCGCGCGTGTGCGTGCATGTGCACACGTGTGTGCATGTGTGTGCACGTGCTTGTGTGTGTGCATGTGTGTGTGTGTGCATGTGTGTGTGTGCATGTGTGTGTGTGTGTGCGCGTGTGTGTGTTTTACTTTTACAAACTCCGTGCCAGGTGCTCTACAATTCTGAGCTCATTTTGTCTTCACCACAGCCCCACGGGGTGGGGTGACGGTGACAACCCATTTTACAGATGGGAGACTGAGGCCCAGACAGAAAGTGGCTTAGGACCAACCCCAGCTTCCCGGAGGCTGTGCATAGGGCATGCAGCCTGCTGCGGAGACTGGGAAGATTTCCGTTTTGCTCATGACGGAGGTGAAGACTTACTCAGCACTCGCCGTTACCTCCCACTGGACCCTCCCAAACACCAGTGACGGCCATTACGGCCGTCACACCCCCCCCCCCCCCCCCCGCACAGACAGGAAGGCAGAGGCCCTGCCCCGCTCACACAGCCTGGGTGCCCTCAGGGCTGGGGTCCTCCGGCCCCCTCCTCCCGCCTCCTGTGGGGGTCCCCACCGACCCGCCCCCACTTACCCGCCTCGGATGCCCTCCCCTCGGGGCCAGCCACGAGGGCCTCGTCCGACTCGCTGTCCGAGACCTCCAGGGCGGGGTTGTCCAGCAACAGGTCCTCCTCTTCCGACAGCACGGGGCTGGGGTACGGGGCGTACGCCGGGGTGCCCAGGGCCTGCGGGAGGTCAGGGTCACCTGCTGTCGGGGCGGGGGGGGGGTCCCCTGCCCTCCCTCCCTCCCTCCCTCCCTCCCTCCCTCCCTCCCTCCCTCCCTCCCTCGGCTTCCTCCTCCTGGGTTTACAGCCTGGCCTCAGCTCGGGCCCCCGGGGCGTGGCTGGGGGACGCCAGGCCACCTCCACGGAAGCCGCCCCGCGCCCCCCACAGCCACCTGTGCTGCCCCCTGGCTCCTGCCTGTGTCCCTGCCACTGGTTTTGAGCAGTGACAGCGCTCAGCCTCAGAGGGCTGTGGGAGGCAGGGAGGGGGGGGGGTCATAGTGCATCAGCCCCAATGCAGCGCCTGGAGCCCAGCGAACCTCAGTCGCGTGATGGGGTGTCAGCGACCCCCGCCCCTCACCTGGCAGGCGAAGTCCTCGGTGGGGTACGCCGGGAAGCCGGGCCCCGGGGCCTCCAGGCTGGCGGCCGGGGTGAGCCCGCCGGCGGGGCTGTAGGTGGGGGCGGGCCCGTAGCAGAGCGGGGCGTCCTGGGGGTGGCTGAAGATGGCCGTGGCGGGGTCCAAGGCTTCATAGGAGGCAGGGGGCGCCGCCGGGACCTCCGTCCAGCCCCACAGGGAGTCTGGGGGGAGGGCCCGGAGTCAGAAGCCGGGGGGGGGGTGGTGGCCTCGGCCCCCCTCCCCCGGGAGGCACCAGCACAGAGGGGCCATTGTGGGCCATGCAAATGGCTGACCCCGGGGTTTGCATGGGCGGGTGGCCAGGGAGGAAAGGGAGGAGGCCAAGGGCCCTGGCTGGCCTCGCCCTGCTGAGCAATGGGACCGCCCCCCCCACAATCCCCACCCCCCTGGGCCTCAGCTCCCCGTCTGTGAAATGGGCCCACGGGGCGTGTGGGAGGGGTCTGGGCCGGGGTCACTCACCAGGAGCCCCCTCTGATTCAGGGTAGCCGGAGTGCTTACAGCTGTCCAAGTCGTAGAAAATGCCATCTGGGTACTGCTGAGGGGAGGGGGGAGGAGGAGGGGTCAGCAGGCTGTGAGGAGCCCCCCCCACCCTCGCAGGACCAGCAGGGAGACCCCCGCAGGGGCAGGGGAGAGGCGGGGAGAGGCCCAGACAGAGAAAGCTGCTCAGGACCAAGCCCACAGACACGGGGACTCAGAGAGAGAAGCGCACAGAGACAGAAAGAGACAGACAGACAGACAGAGACGCACAGAGACGGGGAGAGGACACAGACTACAACACGGCAGATGCCTGCGAAGACCCGAGAGACACGCAGAGAGAGAGAGAGAGAGAGAGAGAGAGAGAGAGAGAGAGAGGGAGAGAGGGAGAGAGGGAGCAGCCGCTCCTGTGAGACGGGGCTCCGTCATGGGCATGGACTCCCCCGGCCCCCCTGCCCGGGCGGCAGGGTGGAGGGTGCGAGTGGAGGGCTCCTTCGGTCTCCGCGCTGCCTGTACCCACCTCCACGTCACCCCGTCCATCCACCTCAAGCATCGCCTCGCTTTAGCCAGTCAAGGCCAGCGCGGGAGCTCTCCCAGCCCAGATTTACCCAGGAAAACACCCGCCACAAACCAGCCTCGCCCAAGAACACACCCAGAGCCGCCCTGTGAGAAGCGCCAGAGGGGACGCAGCCCCCCGGCCGCGGGGCGGGGCGGGGGACACAGGCCCTGCGGGCGGTGGGGGGAGTACTATACAGCCAGGAAAAAGGGGGAGTACTATACAGCCAGGAAAAAGGGCCGCGCCGGGCACGCCCTCCAGGTTGAGCAGAGGAAGCCAGGCCCCAAAGGGGACCCTCTGTGATTCCCTCCACGGGAAGTGCCACGCCAGGCAGAAGGGATTCGTGGTGGGAAAATTGGGGTGGGGGGGGATGGACGGCGAGGGCACGGGGTATTCCCGGCGGACGGGGCGCCGGGTCTGGGCTGGTTAGTGGTTGCGCAGGTGTGTGCCGGGTCAGCCCTCACCGCGCCGTACACAAGATGTGGCTTTCGACTGACACACATTATGCCTCATTTTTTTTTTTTTTTTTTTTTTTTAAAGCATAGCTCGTCATTCGGGGGAGGGCGGGGGCTATGAGTAAGGCGTTTCTTTCTCGGACGAGACTGTGGGGCTATGAGTAAGGCGTTTCTTTCTCAGACGAGACTGTGGGTTGTAGGTCGAGTCTCGTGTGTCTGGCCTGTTACAGACTTACATTTTGGAAACTATGAAGCGAGGAAGAGAAGGGAAGAGGAAGGAATGGGTTTGCTGACTGTGCGCTGGACAGAGAACGAGATGGAAAGACAAAGATACAAAGACTCCCCCCACGCCCCTGCCCACCCCCAGCCCCCGCCCCCCCACGCCCCTGCCCACCCCAAGGCAGCGGGCCCAGAGCCAGAGAGGAGAGACATGGAGAGACACCCGTCATGAGCGGGGGGCCGGAGGGTGGTGGTGGGAGACGCCGAGAGAGAGCGGAAAACACAGAGTGACAGGAAGGGGCAGAGAGGGAAACTGAGGCAGGGAGCTCATAGTAGGCCATGTGGGCACCCCCCCCCCCGCCCCTGCCCCTGCCCTGGCCCCCAGGACCTCAACTCACCAGACAGCTGAAGTGTGGCCCGTCGAGCCTGGAGGGGGAGAGACACAGGGGCATGTCAGGGTGTCAGCAGCCACCTGAGAGTCACGGTGGTTGGGGGGCCGCGGGGAGATGGCTGCAGCTGTGACCACCGTCTGCTCTGCTCTGGGCTCCTGTGGGAGACCAGCCCCCACTCCCCCCTCGCTCCCTGGGGCAGGAAGTGGGGGGTGGGAGCCAGGCAAATGTCCCCCGTCCCCTGGGATTTGCATAGGCAGGGGCTGGGGGGGGGGAGGGAAAGTGAAGGAGAGAAAGTCCCCGGGGAGATGCGGGTGCCCGCGGCCAGTGGGGGCAGGGAGGGCCTCCCTCAGCCGGTCTGTGTAACGGGTCCACCTTGGACCCGGAGAGTGATGGGGAGACCCAGCGAGGGAAGGGGGAGAGGTATGGAGACGCTGCTCAGAGGCCGAAGTGTTTGCTGAGCCGGAGAGGGATGGGGTATGGGAGGAGGAGGACAGGAGACTGGGGACAGAGAATTGGAAGGAGGCTGAGACAGAGGGAGCAAGAGGCAGACCCAGAACACGGAGAGACACAGGGAGCGGGGGACCCAGGGGGACCCGGGGGACCAGGGGGACAGGGTGCAGGGTTCTGGAGCTGTCGGCAAGGGAGTGGGTGGATGGCAGGGGGGGGGGCAGGTCTCCCAGGAAGGTCCGTGGGGTCCAGGGGAGACAGGAGGATGGAGGAATCAGAGGTGGGAGGCGAGAGGGGCAGGAGCGAGCGTGGACACCCCCCCGTGGGGCTGACAGCCGGGACCACCGCTGGGGAGGCCTGGCAGAGGGCAGGGATGGGGGGCCGGGGTCCCATGTGCAGGTTTAGGGGCCCTACTCACTGTGCAGCCTCCAGGGCGAGCATGGCGGGGCTGGGCTGGTTCCTGCATCCGGGCGCAGCCGCCACCCCTATTTATACCTTGGCCCGGCCCCCTGGGGGCAGGGGTGCGAGGGCTCAGCCCTCCTCGAAAATCCCCTCAGGGAGGGGGCCCGGGGAGGGGGCTGGATTGCACAACCTCCTGGTCACGTGGTGGGGAGGGCGGGCCCGGGAGCCGCTGGATTTGGGGATCCCCACAGTTGGAAGCGGGGGTAGCCCTGAGGGGTGGAAATGAGAGGAGCTGGATCTGGGGGACCCTAAAGGGGGGTCCTTGGCCAGTAAAGTGGGGGTCACAAACGGGGGGGGGCGTGTCCCCTTGGAGAACCCGGGCCCAGAGCGGATGGGGACCCTCGGGTGGAAACATCGTGGGTGTGTGCCGCGGGAGGGGGGTCCCCGGGGTGGTGGGGAGCGGGGCCTGCGAGCCGGGGCTGCCCCAGGCCGGAGGAAACGGCAGCACCTGGAGGGCCAGCTGCGGCAGGGAGGGCGCTGGGCACAGCGAGCTGTCGGCAGGGGAGTGGGTGCTCAGATGCCCACCTTGGCATCCAGGGGAGACAGCAGCCAGGGACACAGGGAGCGGGGGACCCGGGGGGGCAGGGTGGAGGGCCCGTGAGGGCTGGCAGCGGGGCGGGACCCCGGTGTCCTGCAGAGGGGAGGCCGTCCAGTGGGGGTTCTGGGGGGGGTCAATGCCTGACCGTGTTCTTTGTCCCCCTCTCCCGCCCCCCCCCCCCCCCGACACCAATCACAAAGCGCCAGGTAACAAAAGGTCCAAACTTTATTAGTTCCCCGCCGGTCCCACCCTCCTGGGAGGCCCATGGGGTCCAAGGGGAGACGGGGGGAGGGCCCCGGAGGTCAGAGGTCACCAGGCCTCGGGGCCGGGGGGCCCGAAGCGCCGCAGCAGCTGCTCCTGGTCCTCCAGGTCCTTGCGCACCTTCTTGCGCATGTAGAAGATGGGGCAGTCCCGGCTGCGGGGCGGGCGCGGGTCAGGGCTGCAGCGGACCGTTCCCAGGACTTTGGCCCCGGCCGCTGCCCACCGCCCCCTCCCTGCGGGCTGTTTGCTCAGCGGGCATGGGGGGGGGAGCGATAACAGCGGGCGCCCGAGGAGGCGCGGGCCGCCAGCCGTATATCACCTGTCACCTGGCGTGGGAACCCGCCCTGCCCGCCCGTTCCCTGGGGAAAGCCCGGCCCCACCCCGGGGAGGGGGTCAGGCGGCCATGTCCCCCGGGGGCAGGTCCTGGGCGCCCACCCCGACCCCGCCCCCGCCCCCCGGGAGGGCTGGGTGAGCGCGGCCAGCCTGCAGCCGTGAAGCTGGGGCCCAGGGGCTCTGCGGCCAGGAGGGGTGCGGGCGGGGGCTGCTGGAGACCCTGAGGGGGGAGCACCTGGTGCAGATGACGTCCTCGTGCAGGCTGCCCTGGCAGCGCTGGCACTGCGTCCACAGGCGCGAGAAGCGCTCCTCCAGGGCGTTCAGGTGGCACACCTGCGGCGGGGCGGACGGACGGACGGGGGCTCAGCAGCAGCCCGGCCGGCCCCTCGCCCGCCCGGCCCGCCTCGAGCCTCACCTCCTTCTGGTACAGCTCTGACTCCCGGGGCTTGCAGTACTTGCACACGGCTCCTGGGGGGGGGACGGGGGAGCTGGGGCCGAGCCAGGGCCCAGGCCACCCCACCCTGCCCCTTCCCCGCCCGCTGCCCATCCCGGCTGTGAAAGTCCCGCAGACGGAGAACAAGGGACCGAGTGTGCGGGAAACTCCCCGGGGACTCCCGGGCGGGGGGCCGGGACCCTCTCGGGGACTACGGAGACCCCTCTCTCCCCGAGGAGACCTGTCTGGGCCGCAGCGCTAGCTTGTGGGCGGGGCCGGGGACCTCGGGCGCCATGGGGGTGGGAGAGGGCAGGGGGCAGGGCGGGGGCCGGGACCTCGGGCGCCATGGAGGTGGGGGGAGAGGGCAGGGGCAGGGGGCGGGGGGCAGGGCGGGCAGGCCGGCCCCTCACCTTGGTGGCTGAGGACGGTGCGGCAGCCGATGCAGCAGCTCTGGCGCTTGGCGAAGGCCAGGAGCCCGCCCACCTTGCCGGTGAGCACGGTCTTGCACCGTGTGTGGTCCCCCCCTGCGGGCGAGGGTGAGGACAGGCGTGGGCCGGTGCCCCCCCATCCCAGGCCCCCCGGCCCTTACCCCAGGGCGGCCCTTACTCAGCAGCACGGCCTCGGCGCGGCCCTCGCCCAGGATGGGCTCGAAGATGCGCAGGAGCGGCTTGGCGAGCTGCTGCTCCAGGTAGTACTGCGTGTCGATGGGCAGGCTGTGCTCCAGCACGAACAGCGGGTCCTGCGGGCAGAGCGCGGGTCACACCGGGCAGGGCGGCGGGGGCGGGGGCTGGCACAGAGGACACGGGGGACGGGCTCTGAGAACAGAGGGCGCCCCCAGCCACGATGGGACCACGGGTGGGGCAGGCCCTCGGGCACAGCGCTGCCCTGTGGGGAGCGGCACTAGGAAGGGGGAGAGGGGTTGAGATGGGGTCATGGGTCACTGGGAGTCCCTGGGCACGGGCTTTGTGATCCGTGAGGCCCACAGGTGGGGGTGCCCTCAGGTAGTCCAGGAAGGGTCAGAGGTCACAGTGATGACGGATGAAGGGGACAAGAACTGGGTCAGAGGCTGGGTAGGAACAAGGGCTGAGGACGGATGGGGTGTGGGGGACGGGGTGTGGGGTCAGAGGTTAGACGCCTGGGCAGATGGAGGAGGGTAGAGATCTAAGGGACCCAGAGGTTGGACCCATAGGGGACCCCAAGGAGACAGAAGGGGACACAGACACAGACACGGAGGAGGAGGGACGCCCCGGGCAGCGCGGCTGACCCCCTCGCAAGGGGGAGCCGGGAGAGGTCAGACGCGGGGGCAGGGGCACCCTCCGGAGGGCACAGCGGCAGGAGCAGAGCGCCCCGGGGCCGACGCCCGCCCGGGTGAGCCGGGGTGGCTGGCAGGCCCCACGGGGCGCAGAGGGAAACACCTCCCCCGCGGAAAGCAGAAGTGAGAGCGGCGGGCGGGCGGGGTGGCAGGTGGGCTGACCTCGGACTTCATGTAGGCGGCCACGCCCTTGGCGGCCCCGATGATCACGTAGGGGACGCGGTCTCCCAGGCTGGGCGCGCTCCCGGGGTCCCGCTTCCTCATCCTGCGGGGAGACGCGGGCGAGGGCAGGTGGGCGGCGGGCGGGCGGCCAGGAAGTGGCGGCCGGCGGCGGGGGGGCTGTTCCTGACCTCTCGGCCAGCTCCACGTGGGCCTGCTTGCCGGCGTAGTCGGCGGCCGCGCGGGTCAGCTCCTTGGTGATGACCAGCTGCGAGATGTCGATGCGGTTGCACAGCAGGTCCGAGATGACGTCCTGGGCGTGGGCCACGGCGCCCGCGGGGTCTCTGCGGGCCAGAGGGGTCATCACCAGGGGCTGCCGAGGGCCGGGCTGGCACCCCCACGCCCCCCACATGCTGGGGACCAGGTCGGGCTTCGGGGCCGAGGTCCAGGACCCCACAGCCGTCCCACCCCACATGCTTCCCAACGCTCGTCACTGAGGAAAGCGAGCTGAGCCCCGTGGCCCCATGGGAGGAGGGAGGGGCTCGGGGGGGGGGGGGGGCGCGGGCAGGATCCAGGGTCTCCTCACGCACCGGTCAATGAGCAGGCGGCGGAGCGAGGCGGTGACGAGGTTGGCCACCAGGGGGCAGTTGTCCCTGCGCACGGCCTCCAGACCTTTGCAGTCCATGCGGTCGTGGGCGTCGGGCCGGGAGGAGAAGAGCAGGCCCGCGTAGCGCTTCTTGCTGATGAGCAGGTATGGGAAGTAGACCTGGGGGGACCCGTGGCTGAGGCCCCAGGGCTGTGGGGTGTCTGATTCAGAGGCACCCCCCAAAGAGTGACGGACAGGCGTGGTTCCCGCGATGTGGGATCGGGATGCTTGGAGGACTGAGACCCCAACATCTGAGCTCGGGTACACCCTCAGCTTTCCGGGGGACCCCATATCGGTGTCCCCAAGTCTAAAACAGAGACTGGACAAACCTAGAAACGGGCCCTCAACATGAGAGCCAGACTCTGGGCTAAAGCCTTGAGATTCCCAAATCTGGGTCCGGGGCAGAACTGAGGCAGCTGGGGGCACCCCCGGAGAGGAGACGAAGGCCCAGAGTGAGCCCCGAGGCAGAGCCCTCCCCAAACCAGGAGGCTCTGAATTCCAGCGCGGGTGCCCCTGGCCTGACCTGGTTTGAACGCTGGGGATAAAGTCCGGTCAGAGCCCCAGACAAAGGCTCCCTGACCCAGAGTCCCCGCTCCCCAGGACAGACCCCCCCTGTCCCCTCACAGGTACAGGGAACCTCCACACCAGAGACGCCCCGATTGTCACAAAGCAGCACACAGCGTGCAGAGTCCAGGCTTTGGCGGTTTCCAAGGCCCCAAACTCGGGAGGACCCGGCAGCAAAATACCTTGACCCTGGGCCCATGAACCCAAAGATAGGGACATCCTGAGTACCCCAATCAGCGCCCCCAAAGGGGGACCCTGCGAACTCTGGGTTTCCCAGATGCTGATTGTGTAAGCATCTATGAGCTTTGCAGGCCCCGTGAGAAAGGGGCCCCCTGAAACCGCCCAGACCCTCGCCCGCCCGCCCCCAGCCCAGGGCGAGGGCCCTCACCTTCTCAAACTCCAGCCGGATGGGCGAGGGGAAGTGGCCGGACACCCAGTCGGCGGCCTCCCGCCCCAGAGCCATCGCTTCGGCCACGGAGGAGACGCCGAACCGGCACATGACGGAGTCGGTGTCGCCGTACACCACCTGTGGGAGGGGCGTGTGACGGAGGCCCGTGCTCCCCGCACAGGCCCATCCGGGCAGCGGGCAGGGGCCCTGACCTTGGCGGTGGCGCTGTAGCCGTTCTCCACCGTGTACTTGGACTCCACCAGCTGCTTTGTTTTTTCAATCATCTGGCGGCCAAAGCCCGTGACGCTCTGTGGGGAGATAATCGCGCAGTGAGGGCCCAGGAGC